CATGACCGATGCTGAAGATCCATTTTCAGGGGCGGTTCCCTTAACAAATCCGCCTCTAAATATCCATTTTTAGGGGCGGATCCATTAAGAGAACAGCCTCTAAAAATGCTATTTTCAAGGACGGTTGCTTATATCAACCGTCGTTGAAAATAAGTGATTTTTAGAGACGGTTTTATTAAGTCAACCATCTCTGAATCGATTTTCAAGGGTGGTTGACTAAGAACAAAAGTAGCTGCAGCACAAATAAATTTATATCTTTTTTAAATAAAGTTGGATGAAGACAAAATTTATATTAAAATTCTAGAGCTCGATGAGATCTAAAACTTTATAGTTGATAAAATTTTGTTTGAGATCATTTAGGATTTCAAATATATAAAATTAAGTCTCAGATTTTTTCAAATTTTAAATTTTTCAATTGACCTTAGATGGAGAAATGTCCTATATAAAGTTATAGTGCTCAACGAGATCTAAAACTTTGTAGTTAAAATTTTGTCATTTAAAATTGTCTATGATTTTACATATTGATTACCAAAATCATAAGTATAAATGGATAACATCATAGAACTAGACACAAGTGATTGTGTGGTGTGGTGGTAGGGGATGAAACGCGAGAGAAAGAGGTTGTGGGTTCAAACCCTGATGATCTCTGCACTTATTCAAAACAAGTGAAAAATAAAACTTGTGAGCTATGGCCAAGTTCTTTGGGCTACACTAAAAATTTTTTTTTTTTATTAGACTCTAAATGATTTTTAAAATTTCTAAAAATTATTTTAGGGATGGTTGACTTAAGTCAACCGCCTTTGAAAATCGATTTTTATGGCGGTTGTCATAAGAGAACCATCCCTGAAAATTGAATTTTAGAGGCGGTTTTAAAACCGCCTCTGAAAATCACTTAATTTTACAATCGGTCGCATTGTAGCGGTTTTTCAAACCGCCTTCGAAAACCGATTTTAACCGCCTCTAAAAATCTTTTATGTACTAGTGTTAAGACGTCCGGATGTACAGACGTCATCCTCCGCTCACTTCCGCACGCGCCGCTGAAAGGTCCTAATGGCTAGAGGGGGTGAATAGCCTAATAAAAATTTCTACAACAACACTTAACAAAAGGGCTAGACAATTATGAGGCGAAGCAAATGTTGCGCTAGCCTACTCAAAATGCAAGCCACCTACCATAATTCTAATTTAGATAGTATCTATTCACACAATAGATATGACACTACTCTATGTTAGTGTGCTCTCAAAGGCTAACTAAAGAGCCACATCAACCAAGCAAACAAGCTCTCACAACTAACTACACTAAAGAGCTTGACAACTAGTTTGCGGTAATGTAAAGAGAGTGATGAAGAAAGTTATACCGCCGTGTAGATGAAGGAACCAATCAATCACAAGAATGAATAACAATGAAGACCAATCACCTCGGAATCAATGATGAACACAATGATTTTTTACCGAGGTTCACTTGCTTGCCGGCAAGCTAGTCCTCGTTGTGGCGATTCACTCACTTGGAGGTTCACGCACTAATTGGCTTCATAGGCCAAACCCTCAATTGGGTGCCACACAACCAACACAAGATGAGGATCACACAAGCCACGAGAAATCCACTAGAGTACCATTTGGCGCTACACCGGGGAAAGGTCAAGAACCCCTCACAATCACCACGATCGGAGCCGGAGACAATCACCGCCCTCCGCTCAATGATCCTTGCTGCTCCAAGCCGTCTAGGTGGCGGCAACCACCAAGAGTAACAAGTGAAACCCGCAGCGAAATACGAACACCAAGTGCCTCTAGATGCAATCACTCAAGCAATACACTTAGATTCACTCCCAATCTCACTATGATGATGAATCAATGATGGGGATGAGTGGGAGGGCTTTGACTAAGCTCACAAGGTTGCTATGTCAATGGAAATGGCCAAAGATGTGAGCTATAAACGACCATGTGGCTTAAATAGAAGCCCCCACAAAATATAGCCGTTATAACCCTTCACTGGGCATAACGCGGGCTGACCGGACGCTCCGGTCAGTTGACCGGACGCTGAGCCCCCAGCATCCGGTCGCTCGTAGTCAGCCACGTGTCTGACTCCAACGGTCATCTGCCTTGCCCGAACGAACGCTCCGGACAGTTGACCGGACGCTGGACCCTCAGCGTCCAGTCATTTCCAGTAAGGGTCCAGAACCGATTTTTATCGACCGGACGCGTCCGGTCATGCTTGATCGGACACAACCCAGCGTCCAGTGCTTAACCCTAAGCGTTGTGCAGACCGACCACTTGACCGGACACAGCCCTTCAGTGTCTGGTCGCCGAGCGACCCAGCGTCCGATCAATAGACCGACACCAGCATCTCACTGTTACACATGACCGGACGTGCCGGTCCCTCAGAGGTCCAGCGTCCGGTCACTGTATAACCAGCGACACTAACTCGTTTTGACTTCTAACTTCTCCACCTTTGCTCAAATGTGCTAACCACCAAGTGTATCACCTTGTGCATATGTGTTAGCATATTTTCACAAATGTTTTCAAGGGTGTTAGCACTCCACTAGATCATAAATGCATATGCAATGAATTAGAGCATCTAGTGGCACTTTGATAACCGTATTTCGATACGAGTTTCACCCCTCTTAATAGTATGGCTATCAACCCTAAATGTGATCACACTCTCTAAGTATCTTGATCACCAAAACAAAATAGCTCCTATGGTTTATACCTTTGCCTTGAGCTTTTTGTTTTTCTCTTTCTTCTTTCCAAGTCCGAGCACTTGATCATTACTATGGCATCATCTTCATCATGCTATGATCTTTGTTTGCTTCACAACTTAGAGTGTGCTACCTATCTCATGATCACTTGATAAACTAGGTTAGCACTTAGGGTTTCATCAATTCACCAAAAATAAACTAGAGCTTTCAAATTACTCGCCCAGTGACCCTATCCACTTGTCCCATCTGCGCACCTCGATGCTCGCTGCGTCATTTCCTCCCTGCGTCGCCGTGCCCGTCCACTTGTCCCATCAGCGCTAACAAGTGAAAAAAAAATCTTATGAGCTATGGCCAGGTTCTTCAGGCTTCACTAAAAATATTTTTTTTATTTTTATTAGACTCTAAATAATTTTAAAAAAAAATCTAAAAATTATTTTAGGGATGGTTGAATTGAGTCAATCGCCTCTGAAAATCAATTTTTAGGGGCGGCTGTCATAAGAGAACCGTCCCTTAAAATCACTTAATTTTACAATTGGTAGCATTGTAGCGGTTTTTCAAACCGCCTTTAAAACCGATTTTAACCGCCTCTAAAAATCTTTTCTGTACTAGTGTTAAGACGTCCAAATAGATGGACGTCTTCCTCCGCTCACTTCCGCACGCGCCGCTCGCCCAGCGACCCAATCCACTTGTCCCATCTACGCACCCCGATGCTCGCTGCGTCATTTCCTCCTTGCCTCGCCGTGCCCATCCGCTTGTCCCATCCGTGCTACCTCCTCGCTGCGGCTAGCCCGCTCGCCGCGACCGCCTCCACCGAGCTGGCGAGCCGCAGCTGCCTCCACCGAGCCAGCGAGCCTCCACGATGGATGCTCCAGCAAGCAGTCGAGGGGGACGAGATTCGTGTGACGTCGCGCCCACCGGGGAGTGGCCCGTGCCACTGCCGCACAGCGAGGTCCATGCGCCGCCGTCGACCTCCGCACTGGCGTGCCTCCATTCATCCAAGCAAAGCCCATGTTGCAAGAGTATGTTCAAGTATTTCAGATGTTTTATCTGGATGTTGCAAGTGTTTCATCTTGATGTTGAAAAGTAGATCGAAATGTTGCACATGTTTCAGTGACTATACACATATGTTTCAAGTGTATGTTCCAAATGTTTCATCTCATTTTCTAGACGTATGTTTGCAAGTGTTTCATCTGGATGTTGCATATGTTTTCACACATATGAAGTGTTTTCAAGTGTTTTTTTGCAAGTGTTTCATACACGTGTTTCGAGTGTTTCAGCTGTTTCATACATATGTTGCAAGTGTTTTATCTAGATGTTTTAAAACTAGATCTGGTGTTGCAGCTAGTGTTTGAGATGCATGTTTCACGTGTTTCATCTGCCTTTAGACGTATGTTGCAAGTGTTGCATCCGGATGTTTTAAAAGTAGATTGGATATTGCATCTCTGTCCTCACTTTTTTGCTGTCTCACCTTCGCCTGGGTGTCTCCTCCTCCTCCTCCAGTTGGGCATCCGCCGACCCTCCCTCTCTTTCTGGATGCTGGCATATCCACTGCTGTAGTCACCTGCTGCGGCTGCTGGCCGCGTGCATGCGCGTGAAAAAGCGGAGGGAGCGCGAGCGGGGACTCCCCATGTGCAGTCGGGTGGCGTAGGCCCCACGTAGGCTGGGCGCGGATGCAAGTGCGTGAGAGAGACGGCGTCCGTTCAGACGTCCGGACGCTAGCATAGACCTACTAGAGTATTTTAGCCAACTATATAGAAGTGGGAAAGCTATACCATTGAAACCTATCCCTTTTATATTTTTCGCTATGGAAAAGCATGCGGATCAAACTTTCTCAATTTTGACTAGACTTATAAAAAACATTAACAATATTTTTATCTCTAAATAAATTTGTTATAAAAATAGATTCAATGTATCTAATGGTACTTATTATATACCATAAACATTAGTATTTTTTATATATTTGGTTAAAATTGAGTTCATTTAACTTCTAGAGAAATAAGAACGTCAGATAAAAAGAGATGGAGGGAGTATCATGCAAACTTGGACAAAGAACAAGTAAAAAAAGATACATTGTCTCAGGGCAATTACAGAGAGCACACTTACAAAAGTTGATAAACACGCATTATATAGAAATCAAAGCTTCAACACCTATAGGAAGTTCATAAACACACGCACTGGCATGGGATGGCAGGATCGATCGAACATACCGGCGAACACATGCGCCACAAGAGTACATCCATCCAACAAGATCCTTCAATTTATTGAGCCTGAAAACCACACAAGACAAGAGCACTGCCTGCAAGATCATCACGCAGCGACGCGCAGCGCGTCACGGATCGCGGAACGGAGGCGGTCGGCCTCGCCGCGGCGCAGGACGGCCGCGACGGTGCGGCCCCGCCCGCCGGCGTCGCGGTGCACGACGGCCGCGCCGCCGTCGCCGACGCCGTCCACGGCGTACTCCACGTGCGCCGGGCGCCGCCCCGCGAGCTCCAGCCCAGCGTACACCTCCAGGCCCTCGGCGTCGACGAACGTCAGGTTGGCGCCGTACACGACCACGTCGGCGTCCTCCCCCTCCGCTCCTGCGAACTCCGCCGCCACGACCGCGCTGGCCTCCTCGAGGTGCGCGCCGGCCAGCAGCGCTCCCAGCTCGGCGACGTCGGCCGTCGCTGGCGACGAGCCGCCGTCGCCGCGACGACGACGTGGCCAATGCGGTGCTCGTTGGTCAGCGCCAGGCGGCAGCCGGCCGGTTCAGTCTTCACGACGGTCACCATGCGCGTCGCCTCCTCCTCCTCGGGGCCTCGGATCGCGGCCAGCGCCCGCCACATCAGCGCCGAGACCAGCTCGAACGGGCCCACCACGTGGCGCTGATGATGACCCTTGCGCGCTCTGAGCTGGAGGACGCCCTGCAGCTGCTGCTCGGTGACGTGGGAGGAGAAGGCACCATGTCACGGGTGGTCGGGACCGCCCAGTGATCGCCGACGGGCGCGGCGGTGGCCTTGACCGACGGCGGCGGGGCCGCCACGCTGGCTGGTGGGGCCGCCGACGGCGGCATGGCGAGTGGGTCTCGCAGGGTTGATGCTGGGGCCTTCTGGCCGCTGAAGAGCTGCGCCCACTTGCTGAAGCAGGCGGCGGCGGAGGGGATGTCGCCGATGACGTGCGCCCACGTGAAGCCGAGGGCCATCCCGCCGCACTTGAAGCTCGTCACCTGTTCAATCACTTGCCGCTTTCAGTTTATTAGTACCTGTAAAAGCAAGTAAAAAAAGATATATCCAAACTACTAGTACTCCAAAAAAATATATACTGGTTTTGCAGATTATATATATTTTGTGAGAAACCAACAGTCATGTCTAACTTAATTTGGAAGAGCAAGAAAAACAAAATACACCAGCTCGTAAAATGAAATACTACCTTAGTATTCATAAGTTCATAAAGCTTGTAGTTCTATCTTTATCCTAAGTTATCTTTGAGGATCAATTCATACAAATTTGGATAACTTAGTAGCATACAAATTATATATTATATGAAAATATTTTTCACTGTGAATCTAAAAATATAAATCTTAGTTAAATTATATGACTTCTAGAAACTAATTATTAAAGATAGAAATGTTTGATTTTAGGCAAAACTATAAAACAGCAATCTTTCTTAAGTATAGTGGTATTTCGTAGGTCATATAAAGTTTAGATAGTTCATATAAAAGTGATTTTTTTGTCAACTATTAGGGCACCGATTAGTGGTTGAGCGAGTATCTCCAACGGTCTTGTCGGGGTTATGATACCATAGGTATCTTAAGACACCGACTAGTTAGAAGCTCGGGCGGCCCACGGTACGCCAGCTAGTATAAACTCAAACGATCGAAGCCAGCTAAGCTACACGGACCTGGGCCAAACACTAAGGCAGAGGTTGGCCACGACCTCTTCCCTCGGCCCTCGCCGCATGCCGTATAGCTCCTCACGACCTCTCCTCCGTCCCGACCTTTGGGAGGAACGGGGACAGGTCGAGCCACGCCAAGCACGCCTGCTCTGACAAGAGCCCACGTCGCACTGACCCCGCAAGGACCGAGGAGACAGCAGTCCCCTCAGCCAAGTCAGACACCATCCCCGCGCCACGCAGCATAGACAAGACAACACCGCCGAGCGGTGGCGCCTAGTATGACAACCCACCGTCCAAATATGGGCCGACAAGATAGGTGTACGACTCCACCCACTACGGGATGGGGGTTACGACGGTGGCCTTGACTTTGGAGGCCATCTAAGCCAACGAAGGCCACGACCCCGGAGCTCACGATCGTGGCCACCAGCTCCACAAGCAGCAAGACGACCAACTCCCTAAGGGCGGCTACCAACTCCTGTACGACGTCCCAGGAGATCAGGAGGCGATGACGAAGGCCACGGCAAGACCACATCGCGTAGGACGGCTGGTGAAACGCCATCGTGCCTACAGTGACGCCATGACCGGCACAGTAGCACCACACCACACCCTACCACGACGTGGGCACAAGACCATGACGACAACCACGTCCGGACATGCACCACAAGACGACGTTACTTGCAAGTCAAGTTAGCTAGGTTCCCTCCCTCAGACTCACGACCCCTCGGTCTAGAGAACCTCTTCTTTATATGTGACCTGGCCCCAGACTTTATATAAGGGCAGCCAGGGCACCCTTTTAGGGACAGGAGACTCTCGAAGCTCTCATTTGGGCAGTCCATTTGCTAACTCTAGCTCGTCTACCTCTTCCACCATTCTTGCACGCCCCCCCCCCTAATTGTAAGAACTTCAGAGTATTCAAGCGAGGAACACGCACTCGATCATCTCTGAGACTAGACGTATGGCTTCGGCCTGAATCAGTATAATTCCTTGTGTCTTTTGTATGCTACCATCGTCTTCCTGGAGCAGCGCGAACATCCGTATAAATTCACTAGTCGGTCTACAAAACACCGACAAGTCTTTTTTAAATTTATTCTCTAAATCCTCCGACGGTCTTCTTAAACTTACTCTTTAAATCCTTATTTAGAAAGTCATTTGAATAAAAATTGCTCTCTATATCTTTTCTCATCTAACAAATTCTCTATATTTTGTGCGTACTTTGGATAGCCAACTCCGCTATCTTTTTTTTGGCTAAAGAGAAACAAGGAATAGAGTATGATAATATTTGAAAATCTAATTGAACAAGCTGATGAAGGCCTTTTTTTACCAAAATATGTACTTCTATTGATACGGAAGGATATAAAGAGACTCTTGCAATGCTCCTGGACTAACAAGTAGTTGATCAATTTTTCGGCTAAAAATTAGTGTATCTATTAGTTGGTATTTTTTTGTTTTTTAGCTGCTAGTTAATAGGAAAAGTGTCAAACAAACCACTACTTTATTACTTCTGACATTCAAATAGTAAGGACTCTTCATTAAAATTAGTGTATCTATTAGTTGGTATTTTTTGTTTTTTAGCTGCTAGTTAATAGGAAAAGTGTCAAACAAACCATTACTTTATTACTTCTGACATTCAAATAGTAAGGACTCTTCATTAAAGTTAGTTGTTACTCGATGTCGGGGATGACAGATCTTCCACTTTATGGATATATACTCTACCGCATTGAAGATTTCCAAGACAAAGTACTCACTCGTATTAGAAAGAATGCAAATTCAACTTTAGTTCAAGTCAAGACTTCTTAAGCTGGGCCAAATTTATATAAAAGTATATTAATATATATAATAAATATGTATTATTATGGTTTGTTATGAAATTTATTGATATTATTTATAGTTATTTATGTTGATAATATTTTTCATAACATAGTAAAACTAAAGATAGTTTGACTTTGATTAAACCTAGAGTTACCTTCTTTATTCTTTTTAGTACGGGGGAGGTAGTACTATCTTGACATGAGCTCACTATATACGATGACATATTTAGATCCATTTAGTATGTCTGGGCATTCGGTTAACCGAAACCGATCGGTTCGGTTCTTTGGTTCTTCAGCTAATTCGGTTATCTAAGAAGAAGAGACCGATCGGTTACTTTGAAAATGTGGAACCGAGGAATTTTGGTTTCGGGTAATTCGGTTCGGTTTCGGTTCTAACCGATGGAACCGAATTTTTCAGGAACCAAGAAATAACCCATTCAATTGCAAATTTCGACAGCATTTTGCCTGATTTTCATATAGTCAAAAGGAACAATTTAAACAACAATGCAGCATAAAACAACAGTACAACACATATATGTTATTGTTCTCCCAAATATTCAAGCATATAGCAATATTCAAGCCTACAGTAAAAAAAAAGAGGTCCGTCAGCATAGCAATGCTCCAGGCGTCCAGCACCACACACACATATTCAAGCATATAGAGCAATGTAAAAACAAGAGGTCCAACAGCACAAGTGAAACAAGAAGTCCACCAGCCTACAGCCATGTACGGCTACACCTTCACAGGAACCAGTCCACACTCAACAAGTCCACAGCCACTCGCCCACTTCTTACTTAGCTAGCCTGAAACAATATTTGCAAACTGAAACAAGTAAGAAAACAATATATTTATGATGAGTATATGACTACAAGAATATATATATACACACATGGTCATTTATCTTTAGACTATTTCTTGTTCTTGCTTTCCTTTGAGGATTTGCTTGGATTGGAGGACTTACTTGGCTGTGATGAGCTGATGTTGGTGGATGTAACCATCTTCTTTTTGCTGCCTTGGATTTGTGACTTGACAGCATGGGCATCAACAATGGCTTTGTCTTTGAATTCTTGAATAAATTCTGAAAATAGAAAACAGCAAACAAAGAAAACATTAAATATTTTTTTTTATTGTTGAAAACAACAAAGAAATGGAACAATAAATGGTCACCTTCTTCTAGTTTAGTCAATTCTTCTGTATTCTCTACTAAATTGATGGGAGTTGCTCTTCTAAGTCAATCTTGAGTGCAAACAAGAGCTTCAACCATAAATGGAGTGAGTGAACTCCTAAAATCATCTAGAATACGCCCACCTATGCTAAAGGCCGATTCACTAGCAACTGTGGATATTGGAATGATGAGCACATCACGGGCCAATGTAGACAATATGGGAAATCTAATGGACTGCCCCTTCCACCAAGCAAGAATAACAAACTTTTTGGTATCTTCTTCACACTCTTCAGCCAAGTACTTATCCAGTTCAGTCCTGTTGCCCCTAAGGATGGCAACGGGTCGGGTTCGGATCGGGTGGAGTCTCCGTGCACCCAAAACCGAAACCCAAAATCGAAACCCGAATCCACCCCGAAAACCGATTCGGGTGGAAATCCATCACCAAAACCAAACCATTACCAAACCCGAACGGATACCAAACCCGAATGGATACACCTTGCCAGCGTATATATATACACACATATTCACATGTATAAACAAGAGGCAACAAATAATAAATATTTTTATGAGTCAACTTTAAATAAATTTAATAATCTAAGTAAACAAATTATTATTAGTATATTATAAAACATGAGTTTTAATTCCAAATGATTTATTTTGGATATCCACGGTGGAAAACCAAACCCAAACCAACTCGATTGGTTTGGGGCCCCAACCCAAAACCGTGGGTGAAAAACCATCCCAAACCCGGTTGAACTGCAAACCCATGGATATCCGCCTTAAACCCGATCCGTTGCCATCCTTAGTTGCCCTAACTTTGCAAGCAATTGCTTGTTCCATTGTTCAGCTTAATCTTCTTTGTCAGCTTAGCCTTCAACTTTCTAGCACCCTCTCCACCTTGCTTAGATGGGGATGATTCACTTGGTTGGGGCTGCACATCACTTGGAGAACTATTGTTTCTGTATTCTTCAAAAAGGTCTTGCAAGCATTTGGTAATTGCAGCCCAAACTTTATGTCCAACACCGTCACCTGTATATGGCCAACGGGCCAGCCCAACCCAGCACGGCACGGGCCCATGCCAGGCATGGCCCAAAGGAGGTCGGGCCGACATGGCACGGCGTGCCACCCGGGCCATGCCCAGCCGGACATCGTGCCTGACCAAGGGCCCAGGCATGGCCTGCTAGGCCGTTTTTTCGGCCAGGCTAGCTCGAGAAGGCACGGCCTGCCAAGCGTGCCAGGCTGGCCCGAGGCCCATAGAGAGAGGGAAGGGGAGAGCAGGAGGGAAGAGGCGCACGGGAAGCGGCGACCGCCGCCGGTGCGCTCGCCCTAGAGGCT